TCAAGTTATGAAGGACTTTCTTGGGAGAGCTTAGATCGGATTTTTTTTAGCAAGCTCTACCACTTCTAGCAACGGGTGGCTCCAAGGGTAAGCGATCCCAAGATGTTTAAGCTGCTCAACAACAGTTGCAACTCGGACACGCTCATCCCTGACACTTGTTTTGTATCTTTCCAGTATCTACGGTGATGTGCAGAGAGGTGGAGCAGCTAGGTTGGTCGCCATTGACCCTAGGAGCCGGGTTTGGGACGATGTCAAAGCGGAGGATTTCATGTTCCCGGCCCTCCTTCTCGGCCGCGCGGTAAGGAATACGGGAAGAATAGAGCTACCAGGGTCGTCGGCTTCTTGTCGCGTGCCCGAGCAGCGCATCCATCAAGATCTTCAAACCGGATATCATGGCGATGGGACTAAACTCAGAGGTGAAGCGAGGACATTACGGTTCCTTGTGGTAGAACCTGACTACTGTGTAGTTATTTTTTATTCCATAGTTATGATGGAACGCAAATCTACACCTTCATAATCAAATTACTCAATTTTTTCATTAAATCTCTATTTATATTACTTAAAAAGAACGTATGGTTCTCATTTCACCTTTCTTCCCACCACCCCTTCGTCTAACCTTTCATGTATATGATAATCAATCACCTTAATTTACTTACATTCTAAACCAATTCAATTTTAATTTACTTACCAAACTTCTAATCAAAATATAAGGTAATTCACGATCAGAATTTGATAAACATTTATTTACACAATCACATTATTATTGACAGATAAATTGTAAGCTAACGTACTAGAATATTTATATCACGTTGCAATGCACGGGCACTTTTCTAGTTTGCTAAAAATAAATAGACCCGGTTTGAACAGCGTGAGATGACCGTTTCTTTTCTCCTCACGCGTCTCTTCTCCCTATAAAACCAAGCAAGCCTCCATTCGCACGCACCTCGATCACACACTCTTGTCCCCCGTTGTTCTCGAGCTCACGTCACCGCGACCCGGGCCCCGTCATGGCCGACCGCGTCCACCCCATGCAGTCTCCGCCGCATCCCGCGTCCCCTCTGCCGCCGCCGGACCAGGAGGACGCGGCGGCGGCGGCGGCCACGGAGACCACGCCGCTCCACCCCACCTTCTACGAGCCGCCGGCGCCGCCGCCCGGGACGTACATCGTCCAGATTCCAAAGGACCAGGTCCTCCGCGTGCCGCCCCCCGACCGGGCCAGCCGGTACAAGAGTCTCGCGGAGCGCCCGGTCCGGCGCCGCCGCCTGCGCCGCGCCTGCTTTGGCGCCTGCGGGGCCGTGCTCTTCCTTGCCGTCGCCGCCGCCGTGTTCGTGGGCGCCGTGTACCTCGTCTTCCGCCCCCGCGCGCCCGCCTTCTCCGTCGCCTCCCTCTCCATCCGCGGCCTCGACGTGGCCGCCCTGCCGCCCTCTTCGCTCTCGCCGGAGCTCGACGTCGCCCTGCGCGCGGACAACGGCGCGAACAGGAAGGTGGGCGTCGACTACCGCGGCGCCGGCGAGGTGGCGGTCTCCTACTCCGGTGCGCGCCTTGCGGCCGGCCAGTGGCCGGCGTTCCACCAGGCGCCGAGGAACGTGACGGTGCTCTCCACGACGCTGAGGGGGACCGGCGTGAGCTTCAGCGACGAGCAGAGGAAGCAGCTGGCCGCGGAGCAGGCGGCGCGCGCGGTGCCGCTGACGGTGGAGGCGCGGGTGCCCGTGCGGCTGCGGTTCGGGAAGGTGCTGCGGACGTGGACGGTGGACGTGAAGGCGACGTGCCAGGTGACGGTTGACAGGCTGGCCGGCGAGGCAGCGGCGGCCAACAGAGGATGCCGGGTCAAGGTCAGGCCGTTCTTGTGGTGGTGGTGGTGACTGCTGATCGCCACCGGCGCCGGCGCCGCTTGTGGTTACCAATGTGTCAACGGCTAGCAACAGTAACAGCGGCCGAGCATTAACTGGGAAGTTATTTGGCGGTGGGGTGAATTAAACTTTGTAAATTTCGGATATGTCTCTTGTGGTGTGATTTCAATTGTTTGATTTTGATGAGGAATACACTATCAGTCTCAGATTTAACTGGTTAATTACCCCCTCGTCTTGAAAAGAAAGACATGTTTGAATAACATACCGTCTTTAAAATGTACTCCCTCCGTTCCCTAAAAAAATGTACTCCATCCGTAAAGAAATATAAAAGCACTCAGACCACTACTTAGTGATCTAAACGCTCTTATAATTCTTTCCAGAAGGAGTAATAAGTTAATACTACAAAAGGATTATTATAGAACACAATAAAATAGTTACATTGTGGAAGTAATTTTGGTCTATGCTTATAGTTTCACATACAATCAAAGTGTTCTTACATATATTATTAGTGAAAGGTTTAAAAGCTTCCAAGATATCATGTTATTTGTGGAAGTGAAGAGAGTACACATATTTCCTCTTTCTTTTTTTAATTTTTTGTTACCATTGGTATATCTAAAGTTACCATTGGTGGTTAACTAATTAATTACCTTCCTTTTTTTGGTTTACTTATTACCAACTAAGGAATCATTTTGTTTAGAATAACTAAAAGAAGAACCAAATGGACCCATAGGAATTTGAAAGGATTCCCTGTACTAGGCTTTTGCATCAGTGTGATGCACACGGCCTGGCATGGCATCAATATCAAAAACATCAACGAGTTGCATATTCGCTTTTCCCCTCCCAATTTTGCATTTATATTGCCTGCGTCATATCACCAGGGTTTTCTTCTGCTTGATCAGTGCATGCCACTGAATTGATTCTGTAATATTGCACTACGAGTCAGGAAAATCATTCTACAAGCGAGGCACAGCCTTTTTTTTACCAAGTCTTGGGCATGCCATTTGTACTTTTGACAAGGCCTCTCTTCTTTGGTCATAACGGCGTTTGTGTTGTCAAACTCCGACTCATAAAACTCCAAATAAGATACAACTTGTACAAATGCTAGTTTCCATTTGCCTCTCCAGAGCAATGTCAAAGCACGACAAAGCATAGTGCTCGAGCGGCTGCCCATGGTCCTCCTGTGCTCTGAAGCTGGTTTGTCCCGTTGCTTCCTAAATGTTTCTTTATTTTTTCTGAACTCAGGTGACCGAGCGATGGCTACATCGTATTCCGCTTCCTCGATCTTAATTTTTCTAACGTGTTACCTTTCATGCGGCACTGTCGCAACGGCTTGATCTTACTCAAACCGCACTAGCGAGCTAATCTTCTTACCTTTCTTTATAACTGTTATATAATGAGCCTAAGCAAGCTAAGGCTGGCACGAGAAATGGATGGAACAGAACAGTTCAACAATCTATCACCACTTGTCGCAGCGTAACGTACGTAGCTATCACCTGCTGAATTAGTCTAACTTAAACCGGGCATGCAGCTGTATGCCACTTCAGATTGTGTCTTTGGGTCCTGACGCACGCAGGGACGACCTCCACCCCTCTGGATCGTGGTTTCACGGATCCCAAGGCACGATCCGACGGCGAACGGAGGTGGCGCGCCACATGAGGATTGACCCCGAAGAATTGTTTACTACACAGGAGAAAAGTAGGGGCATGTAATGCAACACCTGAAGGGCATATATAATAATTAATTATAGTACTTAAACTAACAGGGGCCGTCCTTGTCCTTGTCTTCCCAGCTGGCTAAAGCCAGGCGGCAAACGGGCAAGCAGAGCAGGTCAAGCAAGTAACTCCAGGAAGGCAGAAACCACCAGCATAGTGATACCAGCTACGCTATGTACACGACAAAAGCAGCATTGCATTGCCCGAAACTGCTTCACAGACGACTCTTCTCGCACGACCTCCGAACGATGCTGCCTCCCCAACTGCGCTCCTGCATGCACTCTTGCTGCTTGCGCTGCCACGTACGAATCGTGCGGGCATCGGCCGCGCATTCGTCGTGTGTATAGCAGCGCTGTTGCATTGCCAATCTTACTAGAAAGAGCCATCATTTCTTCCTTCTCTTTGAGGACCTGGCCGGCTGTGAAGCATCTGCAGACGCTGCCTCCTCGGCTTTGGCCATCCTCGAACTTCTCCTGGGCACCGCGGTCGACGGGCCTGCTTCTTCAGCTTCCTCCGCCAGTTCAGCCTTGACTCTGCGTTTCCTCCTCGAAGGAGGGTCAGCCGATGGGCCCTCCTGACCTTCCCCGCCGGGCTCGTTCGCTTCCTCGTCACCCTCGTCCTCGCCTTCCTGCTGGGGCCATTCAGTGGCACACTGGGGACAAGCTCTCGAGGCCTAAATGTGCAGGTAAGTTAGCAAACAATGATGGCAACGTCAACATGAGTAACAATGGAACTGGTATTACGGGAATTACCTTCCGCTGTGGAAATTTCTTCTTCAGACAGTAGATATGGATTCTCACATTGCATCCTTCCTTGGAACAAGTTGATGCCTGTTGTGGATACAAATATAATAATGCTGGTATCAGAGCACACAAAGTTTATAGAGATTCTACAAAAACGCTTGTACAATATATGGTACAGAGTAAGTGGCAAGAACAAGGGAAATGCAATATCATAGTAATCACACATCAGTACCTTTATACCAGCTTCATTGCAAACCTCGCATGATGGGATATCATTGCTGCGAAACCAGCTCCGGAGATCAAGAAATGATCTGATACCAAGACCAATCTTGCCCTCTGAGGTGTACGCCAGCCAACGATCTTGTATCAGTTCAATAAGAGTCTTTTCCTTTTGAGAGAACAAGAAGTTTGTGATAGAAGAAGGAAGACGAGATTGAGTGTCTTGTGTACCATCCGCAATCACGACCTGAGAGTAGAACACTCAATAGTTTATGATACCCGTATTGCAAACAAGATTCAACTCTAGCAATCAGCAGATACAAAGCAGGCCACAGAAGATACACATCATGACTCGTCCATCCTAATTGTATGTAAATCACAATTGAATGAAGCTACAATATAAGCACACGTCCATTAGTATAGCTAGACAACAATTTGTTGTGAGTACAGTACATATGGATGGGGTAGATGATGCTTTAATCATGATCACACATTCAGGATATCTTCGCCAGTTATGTCCTAAACAGCTAAGGTTTTGTGCTTCTTGCATGATCACACATGATAGTATGTGAATGCACCAGTAAGGTGTTGTTTAAACATAAAAGAGAGTCATGTGCCCATGACAGACTGGTACAACAAACCTGGTTGTCAATCCGGACGTTGAGAGCTTCAATACTAGTTATGCTCCCATCATTTCCAGCTTCATGAACTATTGCTTCTAACTGCCACAAGAACCATTGTGAATACAGTTATGCAAACATACAAATAAGTCATTCAGCATACATCATGCTGAGTTGAGCTAGTTCAAGCAAGCAACTGCATACCAGTCCCTTGTAGAATGCAATCTGTGGTACAGAATACTTGGAGCCAAGCTTCGATTCTTCATCAGAAATGTTGTTGACCACTCCATAATAAACTGTTCCATCATACTGGTTTATACATGCTCGCAGATCAAATTGTAGATACCCTAGCTCATTGTTGATCTTCATAAGTGTATCAGTGAATAGTTGCTGGTGAGTGGCTGCAGGTCATGACAATAGACATATTCAGCTGGAGATGGAGTTTGGTGATCTAATTACAGTCTGTAGGCAATAATATGGTCGCTGAAATACACTTCTATATATAATGTGTTCCTAGAAACACGATTCTACCAGCCAACCAGGTCTCAACTGAACTAACAATGATATTAAACACACACAAAACGAACCAAGATCGTTCTGTTTTTGAGACAATCAGAAGATGCAACCTTCAACCATTGTGAATGGCAGTTGATCCTCCATTGAACAATTATTAAAGCTACACCAAACATAAACTCGTTTACTGGAAAGGAAAGGTTTTGGACCCTACAGGGGCTACATCTGTAACTACAACTACATCAGTTGAAGTCAAACGGACGCTTGAGTAAAAGTTGCCATGGGTGCATTACATCGAACACATGGGTGACTAGAAGATCCTGGTGGCGCATTACATCGAACACCTAGGCGGCTACGAGTAACGATAATAGGGGTGGAACTAATCGAAGGGGGGGAGAAGAGGAGCGAGCAGGGCGGAGCGGGCAGGCGGATACCGGGGTTCTTGCCGCCGGAGATGGCGGTGAAGAGGGCGTGGAAGTCTCGCTCCGAGAGCGGTCCACGGGAGAGCAGCGCCTGCAGCAGCGTATGGTGCCGCCATGAGAGCGGCGCCATCGGATCGTGCAGCTCCTCTAGGCTCTAGCGCGTGCCTTGGTGTGGGGATCTATGGGGGCGGGCCGGCGGGGCGAGGAGAAACCCTAGCTTGACACGCAGAATGGGTGGGATTACGCGGCTGAGGTGGGGAACGGAACGGATTGGGAGGTTTCGCGCTCGCGGGAAGGCGCCCGAGATCGCGGGAAATGTTTCGCGGTGGCGGTGGCCCAAATCACCAACTCCATGACCCCTAAACAGACCTCCGTTCTATCTAAATTTTATCTATCTATATCACTCAAGTCCATGGTTTTTTTTTCTAGACATGTTCGTCAAGTCTACGATCATAATTGCTAGACGTCACTTTTTTGCTTTGGTATCGGCATTGGTGGCCTCGATCGCAAGCTTTCACGTTTATGCGGCCTTCTCTATATTGAGTTTCCTCCTCTTGACGACCTCCTTCATGTCAAGCTTCCTCCTTTGAAGCTCCAAATATATCTTCATTTGCTCCAACTTTCCTTAGCGCTTCCTCTCGTTCCTCACTTTTTTTTAAGTCATCATGCCACGCAAACTTTCTTGCAAGGCGATAGATGCCGCATCACGCTTCTCGTCAATCTTCGAGTTGGTCTTGCCCATCAGCCTCTTCACCTCATCTCCATCCCCAGCCACGGCCACCGACCCTCCTTTCTTTATTAGAGCGGTATATTGATCTTTGACTTCGAACAATCTTTCATGAGCATCTAACAAATGGGTTAGGGTGAATGTTTTGTTCTTATGCCTACACAATCAAAGACAAGGCCACAAATGTAATAGTGAAGGACACAAGATGCAACAAATATGAACATGGCATAGCAATGAAAGAGGAAGAGGTCATACCAAGTCGTCCACACCTAGGCCACTCATAGGAGGGCATCAACGCTCTCAAGCACGGCCCAAAACTTGTTGCATTCTTGTTGAGTGAATCCCATCTTTTTTTGATTGACTTGATGCACGGGTGCTCGCAAATTTGTAGGACGCAAACTTTATCTGTTCATGAAAGGTTGCAAGAACTCTCGTCCAAAAGACGAATCCTTTTTGCTCAACACCGGTCTTGGGATCTTGGGTTGTTTCCTTCCAACTATCGCAAATCAACATGTCCTCTTCTTTGGTGTATGATCCGGTGCGAATGTTTTGCCTTATCCTTTATGCATCGGTTCTTTGGATGAGCTCGTCGATAAACATTGGGCCCCCCTTCAATGTCGACACCCTCTTCTTCCTCCTCTTCGCAATAGATGTCTTCATCTTCATGCCATGAGTCAGCATGGTCGTCTGCCTCTTCTTCGTGGACACCATAGTGGTCGGCACCATCTTGGTCGCGACCGTCTTGGCTTTGGGCCTCGTCGATATTGTAGACTTGGCCCTCGGGCTGAAATGTCTGGCCACGCCCCTCGTAGATGACGTTCTCCATGAACACGTTGTAGTCGGGGTCGTCGGCCGGCGGCGGCGGTGGGATTGGCATTTCGTTGAACAGGTTGCGGGCGCCGGGAAGATCGGCCGCAGGAATCGACCATGGCTGCTTTCTTTGCATCCTGGAGGACAACTGGCCAGCGTGGTTGTACCCAGACGTGACATTGAGGTTGATGACAGCTGTGGAGCCGGGGGTGGCTGATATGTCAATTTTGCATCATATTTTCCTATTGTTATTTATAATGTTTTGGGTCAATATTTCACTTTATGATGCAATTATAATGTCTTTTCTCTCTTGTTATGCAAGATTTATATGAAGAGGGAAATTATGACAGCTGGATTTTTAGCCTTGAAAGAGATACAACAGAGATAGCTATTTTCCGGAGCTCCAATTGACCTGAAAAATTACGAAGGTCTATTTTGGAATTAATAAACAATATTGGAGAAAGAATCACCAAGAGCGGCCCCACCAATGCGCCACAAACTCAGGTGGCGCCCCCTAGGGCATGCCATGTGAGCTTGTGGGCCCACCACCAAGCCTCTGTGGCCCTCCTTCTCCTATGTGAAACCATTTTCCCTAGAAAAAAGAGAAGACTTTCGGAATGAAGCACCGCCGTCTCGAGGTGGAACCTGGGCATGAGCACTTTTGCTCTCCGGCAAAGCTATTCCGTTGGGGATACTTCCCTCCAGGAGGGGGAAATTGAAGTCTTTGTCATCACCAATGATCCTCTCATCATGGGAGGACTCATCTCCATCAACATCTTCACCGGCACTATATCATCTCAAACCCTAGTTAATCTCTTGTATTTGTTTTTTGTCTCCAAACCTCGTATTGGTACGTGTGGGTTGCTACTACTGCTGATTACCTCTTGTAGTTGATGCTAGTTGGTTTACTTGGTGGAAGATCATATGTTCAGATTCTTCATCATACATTATACTCCTCTAATCTTGAACATGAACATGACTTTTGAGTAGTTCCATTCGTTACGGGGGACATGGGGCAATCTTGTTATAAGTAATCATGTGAACTTAGTATTCGTTCAATATTTTGATGATATGTATGTTGTTCTTTCTCTAGTGGTGTCGCGTGAACGTTGACTATATGACACTTCACCATTGTTTGGGCCTATAGGAAGGCATTGCAGAGTAGTAAGTAGATGATAGGTTGCGAGAGTAAGAGAAGCTTTAAACATAGTTTATGTGTTGTTCCGTAAGGGGCTGATTTGGATCCATATGTTTTATGCCATGGGATTTTAACAGGCCGAGTAAACCGCGGGCCTTAGTTGGGCCAGAAAATACCATGTCTTTTAACGGGTTGAAAAGTATATTAGGCCAGAATTCTGCTGAACAATTCACATCCGGCAGTAGGTCGAAATATAACTTGGCCCATGATTGGCACAATTATATGACAGGACGTTAACATGCCAAAATTTGGTTGGCCCAGTCACATTATGGGTTGTAAGCAGGCCAAATGCAAAGCGGTCCATAATTAGGCCCAATTATATCACAGGCCTTTAATAGGCCGATAGTCGGTTTGGCTGAAATTTATCCACGAAGAACATGGGTCGTTAAGAGGACAAAATTTACTTTGGACCAGAAATGGGCTCAAATGCAGCAGGGTCATAAAACGGCCGAAAGTGAAATCAGGCCGAAAACGGGTCGATTGTGCCAAGGGACACTAATGAGCCGAAACAAACATCAGCCGAACTCGATCAAATTGTTCAATGGGCTTTTACCATGTCAAAATACAAACCAGGCCTTCAATGAGCCCAAAAACATAGTGGACTATTAACAGGGTGGATCTTAGATGGGCCGTAATTTGGTCCAAAACATGGCAGACTGTTAACGACCTGGCCCACTAGTATTTGAGAAAATCTTGTGGGGCTTTGGCTCGACCGGTCCTTTTAACCTAAATGAGCCACTGTTGGGCCGTTCCACATGTCGACGTTTCCTTGGCGCGTCCCGTCCATTGGATGGATGCCATCTGTTGCAACGCCGAGCTGGCATGTGGCTCCGCTGGCAAATGGGAATTTGACACATGGAAAATTGACATTGGTACAGTCTGTTAAGGGGTATTGGATGCAAAACCGGCACCCGATAGCTTAACGATGACCCGTTGCGGTGGATGCCACGTGTCAGTTACCCTTGACGAAAACACTTTTGTTGGGGATATAGCTTTGAGGTATGACCCGCCCAGGAGGGGTCGGGTTATACCATTGGCGACTTAACATGAAGGAGACCCAGGGAGAGATAAGAAGACAGCGGCTCAAGGAGGCAGGCCTGCTAAAGGCCCAGGACTAGGGCTGTGAACCGCCATGGTAGGACTTGCTCTGTAAGGCATGATTAATTAGAAACCAAGTCGGCCACATTGTGTAAGCCTCCGGGTCTCTACCTGTGTATATAAAGGTGAGACCTAGCGGCGGGTTAACTCAAGAAACAAGCAATCGAGAACTAGGTCAAGCGTATTCGCTCCCTTGTAATCGAAACTCAAGCAATACAACCAGAAGCAGGACGTAGGTTTTTACCTCGTTGAGAGGGGTCGGACCTAGTTGCGATGGCTCCACGCTTAAGTCCTTTCACTAGGGCATCTGCCGTGTTAAATCCACGACAGTTAGGGCCAACCGTGGGGCCAGAGCACAGTGGTTTCGAGTTCTTGAAGGGCGGTTTCTCAGGGATCAAGGGATACGCCGTGGTCCGGATGACCAAGAGTCGTCACGACAAGCTCTACATCAAGGACGCTTGTTGGAGTCCCGATGCTGACTCAATCAAGTACTGGTACCAGGTCCACTTCGGTGCAATGCATGTCTTCATCGGCAAGATTGGAGAGTCCGAGCCTGAGCCGAACATCTGCACTGACACGGTCGAGATGGCTCAGCGCGCATGACCCGCCAAGATCCAACCCGCCAGGAAGTCTATTTTCATTGGTTTTGTTCATGGAGCGGATCTCAAAGAAGGTTTGATATCAGGTGGAGAGATATCCATCTACTCAGGTGATGAGTCCTCGATCGGCGAAACCGAATCGTTCTATCAATTGCAAGATGGCGGGCTTGGGGGTGATACGCCTCCGTCGTATCTACTTTTCCAAACACTTTTGCCCTTGTTTTGGACTCTAACTTGTATGATTTGAATGGAACTAACCTGGACTGACGCTGTTTTCAGCAGAATTACCTTGGTGTTGTTTTATGTGCAGAAAGCAAATATTCTCGGAAAGTCCTGAAACTCCACGGAATACCTTAGAAAAAATAATAAAAAATCCTCGCCAAATATGAAGACCAGGGGGCCCACACCCTTTCCACGAGGGTGGGCCCCCCTAGGGCGCGCCCCCTACCTCGTGGGCCCCCTGTTGACCCTCCGACGCCAACTCCAACTCTATATATTTGCTTTCGGAGAGAGAAAAATCAGAGAGAAGAAATCATCGCGTTTTACGATACGGAGCCGCCGCCAAGCCCTAAAACCTCTCGGAAGGGCTGATCTGGAGTCCGTTCAGGGCTCCGGAGAGGGGGGTTCATCGTCGTCGTCATCATCAACCATCCTCCATCACCAATTTCATGATGTTCACCACGTGTGTGAGTAATTGC